CGCAGGTGCAGTCCTTAGATGCCAGGGACGCAAAGGAGAGAGCCACAGTTAGAGATAAGGCAGGGTCGCAGGTGCAGTCCTTAGATGCCAGAGATGCAAGGGAGAGAGCCACAGTTACAGATAAGGCAGCGTCGCAGGTGCAGTCCTTAGATGCCAGGGACGCAAGGGAGAGAGCCACAGTGAGAGACAAGATGGCACCCCAAATACAGGCTGCCTGGGATGCCAAGGATGCGAGGCAAAGGACCACTGTTAAAGAACAGCCAACATCGCAGATACAGGCCTCGGACACTAAGGACGGTTTTAGCAATTCTAAGAAAGTGATAACACTGCAGGAATACTACCAGAGGAGGAAGCAGAACACAGCGGCGGCTCACACAGCCAAGAAAATCTGTTTCGAAAATGTCTCAGGCAATTCCACCTCCACAGGCTCTACGAGACTTCATGCACAGCCAGAGAGTTGCAGACGATTGAATGATAAAGGTGGCAGCAGCATAGAGACCTCAAAAGTTTGTACAAACCACGGTAAAGACCTTAAAGCCCACCTTTCTGAGACGTCTAAGGCATGCAACCTCTCACATGTGGAAGGAAGACTTGATGGGAAACAACGGACCACAACCAAATCAGACAAAAACTTAAGCCAGATAGGCAATGAGATGCCTCCCCAGCTAAAGGAGCAGAGGAAGTCGTACCTGAACCGGGTGAGCTTCCGGTGCACGGAACGTGAGCGGATATGTCTCACTACACTCAACAGCTCCTCCAGGAAGCTTGGCAAAGATGAGAAGAGCCAGGAACACAAGCCCAAGGCCTCGATCCCAGGGCAGAGCTCTGCTGTAAAGCCAAGCTTGCTGGAGTTTAAATTATGCCCAGATGTACTATTACAGAATGGAAACACTGTCGAGGACAAGTCTGATGTCAAGGCTCATTCCGAGGAGCAGGTTGCTATGCAAGGTCCAGTATGATTTTCTTGGTTGCGTGCTCGCCTGCATGCTGTTGGGGTCTCAGGCGGATCAGCAGGGAATGAACTCAGGCACTTGCGCTTGCCAGGCAAACACTTAATCTACTGAACCATCTCCCCGGCCTCAAGGCGGGTCTCTCACAAACCACCTCAACACTGGTTTTCCTTATCAGATCAGTGTTTGATCTGTCAGCGTTACGCATTTCCCACCCCTTATTGTAAGCAATAGTAAGTCAGGAGTAATGACAGGAGTCTGTGAAGTCAGAAGAGTCAGGGTTGCCTGCGTTGTGCCAGTCTTTAAGATTTTTGGTAACTTTGGCTTTGAACTTGTAATTTCAGAGTCCTGTACATTTGCAATCCTGTTCTAAAAATTTGGAGGTGAGGAATGACTAATAATGAAGCCCAATAATGATGGGTCAAGCTTTGGTCACCTTGAAAACAGATGTCACCTGTGTGGCCACTAAAGCTACTGCCTACTCTTCTAAGGAAAGCAGCCGTGTTATCCACTGGGGTCAGTGACGGCGCAGAAGCTCTGGTATCACTGGCTGCTAGCAAGTATCACTGGAGGAATGAAGGAGAAAATGGGGTGATAGTTGTTTTAGATTTAGGGTTATGGGCATGACAAATTTATTTTTGTTTTCAAGCACCTAGAAACAGGAAAAGTAATATTTCCTGTAGCTAACTTGGTATTTAGCCATGGACACAATGTATCTTGATGCCTTCCAAAATTTATTTTAGGCTTGTATGCCTTTTCTGCATTGTAAAATGAACGGCAATAACTGGCGATCTGAAAATGAATATTTAGTTTCAGGAATAAAAAGTTCAAGAAAAGACTGGATACAATGTGTAACTGAGAAGAAATCGATGCAAGAAGCTGACCAAGAAATAGGTAAAATTTATCTTATTTATTCATTAGATTCTGTGCATTTTCTTTTCCCCATGACCCTGTTTCAGTGTGCAGGGGTAGAATTTTCTCATGGTGAGGAATAGGAAGCTGGAGTCCGGGCTGGGGAGAGGGCTCAGTAGAATAAGCCCTTCCCTGGCAAGCGCAGGGGTCTGAATTCAATCCCAGGTTCCATCAAAAAAAAAAAAAAAAAAAAAGCTGGAGTCTTCCATTTTAACAAGAAAATCTCAAGCATTCCGCAACACTTGGGAGGCCAACTGGTGCATCACTGTGAGTTCAGGGCTAGCCTGGGCTACAAAGTGTGTTCAAGGCCAACTTGATCTATATAGACCCTGTCTTGAAAAGACAAAAGAATCCCTAGCACTTTTTTGGTGGTGGTACCAGGGATTGAACTCAGGACCTTGTGCTTGCCAAGCAAGCACTTACTCTACTGAGCTATCTCCCAAGC